TTCCCCCCCCCCCCCCGTGTCTTTTATGTATTGTTTATCAGATATGAGGTGTTTGCAGCAGTGAGTATTACGATGACTGTCTTCTGGGTTGTAGCGTCATGTAGTTTGGTAGAATGGTTGTTTATGAGGAAGTATTGGTTTATGTTGTGGCTGTTTTGAAGAGAATTCTGGAATGTGATGTCGAGCGATTTTTGAAGTTATTGTGCAGATTATGGCAAAAGTTTGTAGTTGCCCAAGGAAAGTACTTTCAAGGTCCGTGTCGTGTAATCTTGAACAGACAAAAAAACACAGCTTAAGGAGTAGAAGTCACTGCAGGCTTCTGTCATAATTTTAAAGTACGCGTTTTGTCGCAGCATTATTACGAGTTTGGTCGAATGATGGTGAAACTGGCAGAGGCGATTGGACGGCTCGTTCTGTCCGGCAGAGAGATGACGCGACTCGCCGGCTTCACTGCCCGCGTCACAGACCTAATAAAGGTCCTAAAAGACGTCAACCAGGGGAATTATATCCGGACGATGGTTGGAAATCCAGGCTCCGTTACATCAGTTGTGGGCAGCAACGCACATGATGGACTGGCTAGTAAGGAAATTGACACATTGGCGTTAAATACTGTATTGTAGGGTTGTTATCAACTTTTTTTATCTTTTGTACTAAGTGTGTGTTTCATTTTGGATTGCTGCATGCTACTGCCCCATATTGGTAGAAATGGAGAATAATTCTGGCTGTAGGAGCAAATATAAGCATTCATATCTGTAATTATATCAATAATCACTTTGATGGATGATCGGTGTTCAAGCCCTGCCAGGGGCAGATGATTTTCGTATAGCCTGAACACCCAGACCAGCTCTGGGGTTCACCCAGCATTCTGTCCAATCAGTATCGACGCCTCTCTCACCGGAAAGCCACAGTTATGCATTGAACTGCGCCCGCAAGAAAACCTGTGGACAAGAATGACTACTATAAAAATTTTTGCGGATCGAATTTACGTTCAGATTCACTTGTTTTGAAGGTTAACATTTCCATGTTATTATTTTTCATTTTCTCTTCAGTTTATTTTTAAGAAGGCTTTTTCTCAGAACTCTTGAGGCTTATGTTGTGATATACGACCACGTGAATTAATAGTAGACGACTTAAAATATTTACTTCATTGCTTACAGATAGCAGAATGCCGCCTCCTGTGCCCTTAATTCCAGGATCAGGAAGGATTATCTTCCAGGACAACGTAATTCGTTTCGATAAGGTTCCACTTGTGACGCCCAACGGAGATATTTTGGTGAACGAACTGGACTTTGAGGTCCGCTCAGGAATCAACGTATTGGTTTGTGGTCCCAACGGATGTGGAAAGAGTTCACTTTTTAGGGTGCTGGGAGAGGTGAGGTTAGTTTAGGATTACAAATTCTCACCATTTATTATGTATTTTGAATCCATTATCACACTATTTTTTCCAAATTTTTATAAAGAAAGACAGGTTTATGGTGTGTTTAATATGGCTTTAAAAAATTCTAAGCATCTTTCTGGGAGCTGTTAACATTTGCCGGTCAAAGTCCATCAGGCAGCTCCATATTACAGCTTTAATTTTCTGTGATTTGTGGAACATTTACCGTTCTGTTCTAATGTTCATATTTCTTTTGTTAGCTGTGGCCGCTATTTGGCGGCACACTTACAAAGCCACCAAGAGGAAAGCTTTTCTACATTCCGCAGAGACCATACATGACACTGGGAACGTTGCGTGATCAGGTAACAGATATTCCGTTCTGGTGACATAAAACGTAGAAACTGAAGGATTAAAACTTTGTACAGTAGAGACACAGAAATTTTGATGGTTAAAATGTTAATCTGGCTTAGAACATTACTCACTTTTAAAGCTGTTTGATTAAAGGATATAATTGATCGGTTGATTTACCGTTGATTGAATAATTAGTAAATTAATTTGTCAGTAATCAGCCGTATGAAACCGGAGTTGGTCTTCAGTGTTTCAAAGACGATGTCTGTCTCCATCATCGGGGATTTACGATTAGTAAGAGACTGATGATGCGTACGCGGTCTCGGAATTATTGGAAACTACTTACATGCTTGCGCAGCTGATTATGGATTTAATCAATTGTTATAGACCTAATTTGGAAGATGTCAAAATTAAAACAGCGTCTAAAGTATTTACTGTGACCTGGGGTTTGAAGCGTACAACTTTCCTCACATTTATTATTTTTCTGGGCACCGACTTGTGGACCTTTATATGTGTACTAAGTTTTAGGTCCATCTGGAAGTTCTTTAAAAAGGTGTAACTGTGGACAGTAATAAGTACGTGTCTTAATCCTGTCCAGAGCGGCTCTCCAGTGGGTACCAGTGTCCTTTCCTGGGGATAAACCGCGGCATGGGCGTGCTGCTGACCGCTCACCTTCTAGTACCGAGATTTATTATGAGTAGGGGCCTACATTGGCGTGTAACAGGATGGCTTTACTTTTTAATCATGTTTTTATTTAAAAGTTACTGCCGTGCGTCTTTCTTCTCGAATATTCTATTTCGTACCGTGTTTGTACAAGGTGATCTATCCTCACACGCATGATGAGATGCTACGTAGGGGCAAGACGGATGATGACCTCGCAGATCACTTGGAGCGAGTCAAGTTGTCGTATCTGTTGTGTCGGGAAGGCGGCTGGGATGCCATCGCAGATTGGATTGATGTGCTGTCTGGTGGAGAGAAACAGAGAATAGCTGTGAGTTACGTTGTAATTTCTTTATAACTCGATACATTTAGGAATTCAAGATTTGTTGTCTCAGGTACTTGATTATGTGGTGGGACTCTTTTGAGTGAAAAGCAGAGACGGTTCCTTGACCTGTTGGAGTAAATTTTTATAAATTTTGTACTTTCAATAAATTGTATTACTGTTGATACATGAAAGTTTAGTTATTCATATATTAATACTAAATGCATTTATATAACTATAAACTTATAATTTTTTTACTTTTCACCTTATATTGTCTGAGTTACTAAATCAAGGATAATGTGATGTATACCATGTATGATGTGCGTAAGAAATGCGTACAAAATTTTAGTTTCCTCCCTCAATATTGTCAGGGTGATTAAGTCGAGAAGAATTAGATAGGCGGGGCATGTAGCGCACATGGATGGGACAAGAGCTGTGCACCGGGTATTGGTTGGGAAGCCTGCGGGGAAGAGACCACTGGGGAGACCTAGACGTAGATGGGAGGATAATCTCAGGCGGGATCTATCGGAGATAAAAGTTGAAGGAGACTGGATTTTGTTGGCCCAGGACAGGGTCCGGTGGAGGGTTTTGGTTAATTCAGTGATGAACCTTCGGGTTCGGTAAGCCCTCTAGTTAGTTAGTTAAAGAGATCACTTGTAATGTATGAGTTTAGATGGTGGGCTGATGTGAACATGAATCTTAGACAATGTAAGATTGTAAACTGGATTGAGGTGATGCTGGACGAAGTCAAGTGGCGGGCTCTTGTGAGCACAGTAAGTAACTTTTGGGTTCCATGAGAAGTTGATAATTTCTGGGCAAGCGAGATACTAATTACTTTTCAAGATAGACGAAGCACCACTGAGTTGTTTGGTTAGTAATATTTATGTGAAAACATAACATAGAATTTAATGAATAAAATATCAGTTTCAGTGTTATGACGTAGCTTTTTGATCTGAGCACAATATTGAGCTTGTGGCGAAAAGGTTCCTCGTCACTTTCATAATTTGTGGCTTTAAAAGTGCAATTGGTACAAAATTAAAAATGACGTTAATTAATTTCTCATTTTATTATTTTACAGATGGCTCGGTTATTCTACCACCAACCGCAGTTTGCGATTCTAGATGAGTGTACATCTGCCGTGAGTGTAGATGTAGAGGGCAGCATGTATCAGTATTGCCGAGAAGTTGGTATTACACTCTTCACCGTCAGTCATAGACGTTCACTGTGGAAACATCACGAGGTAATTGCGATACGTACCAAATAAGTGTCAGATGCTTTGTATGCCGTAAACCTTAAATTTTTTTATAAATAACAAAATTCCCCTGCGGCCAGAAGAGTCGTCGCAGACATAGCTAAAGTTGTTTGGTACAAGCAAAGAATATAATTCTGTTAGTTGTAATTTTTTGGCTTCAAAGTGGGTTTTTTTTTAAACAGAGATAGTTTAACGGCTCATATTCAATTTAATTTGTTTTATCTCAGCACGTATTCCATACGTTACGTACTTCCGTAATATAAATTAGTTGTGATGGTGTTAAATTACTGTTGCAGTACTATCTCCAAATGGATGGTAGAGGATCCGTGCACTTCAGGCCTATTGAACCTGACACAGAGGAATTTGGATCATGAAGCTAATTGGTCGTTACGGCCGAGGAATTTGTGGAAATATTTTGTCTACATGTGAAATGCGATGAAGTGCTTTATGCAAGAAAACACAGATTTACCATATCATATCGTATAGGAAGTAGTCGGTTTAGAAAATTTATTTTTTTATTATATATTATTTTTAGTCGTAGTTATTGGGACCTCTTTTCTTGGCATAAATTTGTCATAAAATTGAAGTAAATGTCGCGGTTTATGCTAGCTGGGCTAGCTTCTCGCGTGGATGAATTTAACGTTTCATACTATTTTGTACATATCAATCCTTGCAGAATACGTTTACAACCGATAAGAGAATGATGTGAAAAATTTTAATATAAATTTCTGCTGCTTTTGCTACTACCACTATTCCTAAAGGGATAAAAATGTATTTAAAATCATTTTTAAGATGGCGTCTAGGATGATGCACTGTGCGCTCTTACACAGATATTGACCACTGTTTCAGAGATGTTTACTGCCTTCGTCATCAGGGCGCAGTAAGCACCTCTGAGATGTCGGTCACTTTCTGCGAGACTACGCATTACATCTTGGCTGTCACGGAAACCTGAAATTATTTTATTTAGCTTTAGTGAAAAACTACTTATCTGTCTGAAATAAGGTTTGATATTGTTTTATATAGAATAGTCAGGGTAGTTCTGTCAGAATAGTGACTAGGCTGTGGGCTTAGTTCCTGGCAGAGGCGGAGAATGGTCTCTTCCGCCATGTCGAGACCAGCTCTGGGGCTCGTGCTGTGTTGGGTATGGGGACTCTGTCCTCAGGGATAAAGAGACGAGGGCATCATCCTGACCGCTCGCCTCCACCTAGTGCTGACGTTAATTGTGTGTAAAGCTGTGCTTTCACGCCCTAATATGTTTTAAATTGTGGTGCGTAACTTGGCACCAGGGACTTCTTTAGTCTGTTGACGTACTACATGGCGTGTGTCTCTGAGGCGGTAAAGTAGTTTGCGTCTGTAGCTCACGTCCATTTTGTGCCAACGTTAAAAATGTGTGACGTTTTATCACGCCCCAGTGTTGCCTGTAGCAACAGAGGCAGTTTTATGCTTGCTTTTGAATCCTGTCTGGTTGTAACACGACAATTTTCTGCGGAAAGTGCGTCTAGGGGATATAAATTTATAATTACCTCCGAACTATTGAATCTTTTTTTTACAATCATGTTCTATCTCTCAAGGAGTTTGAATTATTTGTGCTGGATGGTACCAGACACCAAAGAGCGCTTTCGGCAATTAGTTGCCAGTTTCCAGTGGCCCCTAGTGACATGATTAACAAACGCCCAAAGAAATGTAAAAAGAATTTTTGAAATATGTCAACATACAACTCTGGGAGCATTTTTAGTACGTCATTTATACAGACATACAGTGGAGAAGGTCTAATGTATTTTCTTTCTTTATTGTATTCGAGTAAACTATTTAAGAATGGATATTGGTAAGAGAAGTGCAGTTAGGTGAGTGACAATCTGAATGCTCTGTGCGAGTGTGTGTATGTGTGCAATATACTGTATCGTACATTATTTTATTAAAAGGTTTAATATGGGAAACGGATATACCACCTGAATATTTGGATCCACAAATACTGCTTTTGAGTCTGAATCGGATATCTATAAAGAAAATATTCCAGCTTTGATTCATTTTTGTATCTTGGAAGACTATTTTGTCGTAATTTAATTCTAATGATTCCCGCCCAGCCTCTTGTCCAAAAATGATATCAATTTACCCTGGAACAGACCACTGACTTCTGTCTAATGTCAAGGTATAGAATGCATGGAGCCTTACCTCCAGCATTAATGTGCTGTGTGAATTGCTGTTTGTAAAGTCATAGAAAGTGCGTTATATTACAAAAGAAATGTTTTAACGCATTTTCTTACTGGCTGTGTAAATTTGCGGTATTGTTTAAATTGGATCATAGGTAATTAAAAAAATGATGCATCTGTGTCAATGCCATCTTCGGCTCTGTTTGTAATGAATGCCTTTAAGATAGGGCAACATTTATAGGTTCATAAATGTATGTACCAGTATCAGAAGAGTTGGGACATTAACTCTCTGGTAGCAGAAGCCGCAGGTTCAACACCAAAGCCTGCCACCGGCCACGATCCTGAGCCAGCTCCATCCATTTACCATCCTCACAGCCCACCTCCCTAAGATCCATCTTGATGTTCAGATTACTTGGTAAAAAGCAATAAAAGTAATTGATGTTATAATGTGCAGTACTTGTGGCAGGGCAAAAATTTGCTGAATGAAGGCCTTATAAATGTTTTAGACGTTTATAATAATGTCATCTTGCTCATTTGTTGTATAGAATTCCATTATGTAAAATAGTTGTCAATTTAAAAGACGTACATGTAAACGATTGGGACACGGTGATAGGTGGTTGTTCGATATATAGATAACCTATTTCGATATGGTGACACTACTGTCTTTTGTTCATCTGTGCTTTCTACCGATATATCGCCAGAACTCATCCACGACGAGTCCGTTTTGTAATGGTGGGTGGTGGTGGTGGTGTGGTACGACGGACGAATGATTCAAATAAGAGAAAGGGAAACCCGAAACTGTGAAAGGGGTTTTGAGTGAGTAGAAATTATCGTCCAATAAATATATGAATTAATTTAAGTAATTGAATGCTGTATTGATCTCTGGTCAGCGGAATTTCCGATGTAAATGTTTGCAACTAATAAACGTATCCGAAAGCAGTTTCTTCTACAGTCTAGGTGCCACAAAACAGAGTTTGGAGCTCACAGTGTGCTTCGTAACAAAGTTTCGCGATGTTAATTTAACGTTATTTATCTCTGCCTCTAACCCATTTCCTTAAATCACGTTTTAATAATCTCGATTGAATTTTTGTCTCTTCTGTCGTGACAGTTCTCCAAGATGTTTGCCCATCAAAATTCTGTTTTAATTTCCGTCCCATCACACCTAGAGTCCATAGAAATTTTCAGTAATTTTCTTTGTTTAATTAGTAAACAGGAAGACCAACATGGTATAAGATGATTTTTTTAGGTTGGCACGTCTTTTGTTTGTCTCATCCATGAAGAAGAATGAAAGATAAACAAATTTTAAGAAGTTTTTATATTTCTCTTTGCTGTTAAAGGATTGTTTCGGTTTCTGGGAAATAAAACGAGATTTGGTGTTACTCTTAGATTGCACTTTGTCTCTTTGTAATAGAAATTGTCATTGGCGGGCGTGTTGAATAGGTGCCATTAAGTTCAAAAGCATCGTCCTGTTTTATCGATTCAGCGTGTACCGTCATTTATTTAGTTCATATATTGTCCGATAGATGCTGCAGTGTTCACGCGTTCTTTAATAGTTTTTTTCTCCATATTCCGACCCCGGGGCCGGGTTAGGCTGTTGCTGCTAGCAGCCATTCTTGCTGTCCATTGCAATCAGTCGCGAGGTGGAAGTCGCTGCGTGTGGTCGGTGGCTCGGGAAGGAAGGGTGTTTGTGGAAAGCTATTTAATTTCCGTAACCGTTCAGTATTGTTGTGAGTGTTAGTGTTCTTAGGTGAAGCCAGCAATATGGATACTGGCGGTGGAAATGCTGGGGCATCAGATGCTGCAAAAGCGAATTCAAATTCTACTTCGGAAACTTCTCAACATTCGGGGTGTGGCTGTGCTTCAGGAACAACCATTACTGTTCGCGTCACGCCAACAACAGGAGGCCAGTTCGATCTTCAAATGGCGAAAACGGAAAGTGTTGAAAATTTGAAGAAAGTAATATCGAAGAAACTTAAAGTGCCCAAAGAACGGATATGTTTGCTACATAGGGACAGGTAAGTGATATGTTTTAATAATTTTCAGTTTGAAATAAGTGAAACCATGGATCGTAATTGTAAACTAAGTTCGATGTTGCAACGCCGAAGACTCTATCAGCTGTGATGACGTAGTCGATGCAAGCTGTGGTACGTAGTATAAAATGGCCGAATATTAATTGGAAATCACTGATAGGTTTTAAAATAATGCTGTGCAATAGTAATGTATAGGTGTGTTTATTTTTGATTTTCAGTGGTGGTATACCGTAATTGGTTTTGTTATAGGCAACTTCGTGATGGCAGTTTACAAGAAAATCAGTTGATGGATGGCAGCAGATTAACCCTGTTACCTAGTGTTGAAACTGGTTTACTGGTAAGTAGAAATCTCACATGAAAATAATTGAATTCCTTTTCTTTCAAAATGAAAAGAGGTTCCCCCTCCATCTGCAAGTAACGGTTTCATTGGTTGTAGTTGCCTGGTCAGGTCACACATATGCCCTAGCTCATTTCTTCTTTGTAGCAGAAGGCAACCATACATCGGAGTTGGTTCCGTTTGAACCAGTTCTTAGTGGGTCATAAGTTCCAAACTGCTTCACATAATACTTAACACCTAGTTCTCGTTTCGTGACGTAACTGTAGTAGTTTTATGTAATTTTACACCTTACATTGTATATTTTATTCTTTAATTCGGCCATTTTAAATTGTATAAAATAATCGTGCTCATTTTATGAGGACAGAGGTGTGTGATAACCCAATCTTTGCGGTACGGACTGAGTTCTAAAATGTTATTTAGACGAGCTTCAAGCTGCAAAGGAAGTTTAAAATAAGTTCTCCAACAGACGATTGTTAATAATTTCATACAGTTGATACCAGTTGTGCGTTCTGAAGAATTTGTTTATGGAGAAATGGCGTAGGCAGAAGAGACACGTGTCTTAAATTGTTTCTTTGAACTATTTATCTTAGTCCTTAGAACAGTGTTGCCGTTGTGGGACTGCCGTTCGCTTTGTTGCTAGGCCTGCACAACCTGGTGGTGTTGGGTGGCTTGCATTCCCCCCCCCCCCCTGCCCCCACCCCTCCTCTCTCTCTCGAACATCCCCCTTCAGAGTTCTCTCCGGGGTCTGACTGGTCCCCGGGTTGCTTCTGTAATCTGTGATGCCAGAGATGTATCAGCTTTTCAAATAACATCGTACCCGAGCCGTTCTTGTGCCACGAAGCAGGCTGGTAACGCACGTCGTAATTGCTACAGATTATTTAGCTCCTTCAACACTTTGAAGCTGAAACTCGTCTAAATAGCATTTAAGGATTCAGTCCGTACCGCGAAGAAAACAACGCCTCACCATTACGAAGACCATCTGGTTGACGCTGTTTAAAGAAATAGTCTTGGTTTATTCTGGGAATCATACGAAACTCATAAATACACAATGAAATATTGCTGTTTGTTAAGAAAGGTGGTACATTTATTTAATGGGATGACGTGTGACAAAAATATCTTGTGTTGAACTAGCATTAGTTTTGCCAGGTAAAAATATTTCGACGCCATGTTTGGGTCCCCCGTCAATACGCAAGCAACATTTTTTTAGATCAATGAAGAGAGAGAGAGAGACAATTGATGGTTTATCAGATTTCTTCGTGGGTTTTAGCAACTGATATTGAAATTTTATGACGAAGCAGTGATAGTGTCTTTGGAAAAATGCCAACACGTTTTTTCGCTGTATATTTCACGACTTTTACCGCCTGTATAAGAAATCGTTACGTGAAACACACCTTCTCCTTACAGATACTTATCTATTTATTGTTAATGTTCATGATTTTCGTTTCAGTAGATGTCGCATAATCCCTGTAGTTGAAACAGCGTCGTTAAGAAACTTATGCGAAGAATATTTTTGATTAGGGAGATGTGTGTTTACGATCGTTGACCAAAATGGTGGTCACGCATTATTCCTATATTGCTCGTGTTAGCGGACACAACGAAATGACCTTGAAACCTACGCCGTTTTTACGAGGCGAGGGGCGGCGTCCGTCTTTTTTTTTTTTTTCTTTATAAAGTCGGAACATCTGACCTTCGTCTGCATCGTACAGTCACACATGGAACCAACCATATTGTTCTGGCTGTAAAGAACTTTATCTTGTTATTGATGTTTTTTCATGAATCGTCTGTTCGTAATCCAACTACATCCGTGACTCATGACATATTTTTTAACTTCTTATTGGCTGGTGTGACGTATCTTATTGCAGTTCATAAATTAAAGTTCACAGTCAAACCTTGTTTAAATATTCTTTGAGCTTTAAACTACAGTTATGCTACTTTTTTAATCAGATTTCCTGCTCATATACTAAATGTAATTCTTAATCAGCTATTCGAAGGCGAGCTGTTGTTAACGCGGTTATGAACGATGAGTAACAGTGCGAGTCGTCCTAAGCACCTGGAAACTTCTATTGTTGCGTACTGTTGGCTTTGTTATGTATCTATTACTTATCAATTTTGAAACAACTAATTTTTGCTACGAAGCAACAATGTCCTTTCTAAAATTAGATACATTGTTACGTATGCCGGTAATTTACATTTAAAAAACTGAGGTCGTCAGTAAATTGGAGGTTTATGTTACCTTTTCAGAATAATTTTATGTAATTATCCATCAACACTTTTGCAGACGCGATAGGTTGAGTCAGCCATCTTTAGTGCAGCGTAGATAAGTTTTTTTTTAATCACAGCCTTCTATGTGATTCATGGTTGGGTTTTCTCTCTCTTTTTCTTCCTTTCTCGACGTCTTATCTCTCGTATAGTGCACGTACGAAAAAATTGATTTGTTTTTCGTAGTTACGACTGTTTACGAGTGTTCATTGTATATTAAACTTATAAATGTTTACACGTGGTATTAATTATACAAGTCTCGACACACAACCAATGGCGGATATGCAACCCACATAATAATTGATCATAAAATGGTTCGACGTGACGCCCACGTTAATAGGCCTGCCCGTGGCGTCAGGAAACTATCGACGCCTAGATTTTCTCGTGACTTTTCCCCCCAGTTTTCGAGCAGACACGTGCTAGTAGAGAAATTGTCCCGCCTTGTATGGAACCATAAGGTTTATTACCGTGTTTACAACATCCGCACACTGTCTTGGGGGCTCAGTTTCACGCGTATTCCGTAAAACTCCTTTTTAATATTATTCTCCCATCTACGCATATGTATTTTTTTTCTCCGAAACGTTAGTATAGACGCGGAACAGACTTTTTATTAGTTTTTAATCAAAATCTTTTTAAAAAGTGTACATGTCAGACCTCAAAACTCTCTTACGACCTTCTTGATTTTTGGTCGTCTTCGTAATTTGCGTGGGTTAATCGACGAAAATGATATCACCGCCTTCTTTAGATCTCCGAATGTGCTCGAGATTATAACAAAAACGCGATGCAATGAAACGAACAGCTTTGCTATTTTGAGAGCGTCACACAGTTTCGTAGTTAATTGGCGGAGTCAACCTCATGTGAGATTGCGTGAGGGAGGTCGGTTCGAGCTGTGACGTCTCTAGACCGGTTTGGTAGGAAATCCATG